GTCATGTATTGAAGGACTATGTTACAGGAAGGGAGAGACGGAAGTGTAGCTGGTTATATTTATAGAGTCGACATCCGAAACTAACCTTGAGAGAAAAAAAGTAACATGTTTGTAACAAGTAAAGTGAGTTGCTACAAACGATGGTGGGAGGGGGGAGAGGAATTAATGGGGAAAAAATTTCAATCGATTAAGATGTGTCACGGCTCTACTCTACTTCCAGCTAAATTTGGCCCTCTTGATTAAAACGTTCACGTATACAAGTCATGGTATTTGTTTTTTTTTAATTGAAATCACAAGATTTTGTTTGGCCTATTCGACACATATGACTTTCTGACACAAAAGACATGCTTATGACAAGACAGCCCACATTCGCCCGAAGACTTTTTTTCGACCTTAATTAAATGCGGCCGCTTGTACCTTTTGAAATGTCACCATTTCAGAATCCCTGTTCAACTTTCACAGTTCGTGGTCGATTTTCATCCACTAATTGTGTGTGTGTATATATATATATATATATATATATATATATATATATATATATATATATATATATATATATATATATGCTTAATTATTTACTACCATAATGATTGGATTTCATTACCATTATCGTATACGTTGTAATCATAATATTGCTTTACAATAAGTTAATTTATATATTATAAATATAATTATCGGTTTTGTCACGTACAACCACAAGCTTACAAAGAACTGTGTCTATTCTATACATCTACTTTGGGGATCTGTTCATTGCCCTTGTCCCTTCAATACCCCAAGGTAATTAACCCCCCCCCCCCCCCCCCCTTTCCCGGAAATTACCCCTAGGTCATCAACCGCCACTGTTATTACCCCCCTCCCTTCCCACTTTTCCCCGGGTCGATTATTTCCCCTACACCGTCAATTACCCCCCCCCCCCCCAATCCCCCCAGCCCTTGAACGCGTCGTAGTTTTCTCGATGCCTTAATGTGTGGCCGTAAGCGGCGCATGTGCTGAAGCTCGTGGACGCCTAAATGTGTGGTTGCTTTTTCTCTCTGGCTAGGGGTGTGCTGTCAGTATGTGCTTCTAAGCTCTGCTCTCCTGCACGTCCGTGGCTGGTCAAAATCAAATTACAGAGGCGACCCGTGTTCATTGGTGATGTGTTTCTGATATAGTTTAAGCTGTGTTCACAGAAGCCTCACAGAGGCATACAAATAAAGCATAGATTCGCTTTTCTCTTCGTTTCAAAACAGAAAAAAAAAAAAAACAATAATTAAAACTAATTACCATGGAATTCGCCGAGCAAATCCCCAGTAATCGTGGCAAGCGGAAGATTATGCATAATGGATACGTGTACGTAAAGCAGAAAGATCTAGCGTCGGGCGTGACCGGGTACGAGTGTGAAAAGCGACGAGGCAACATCAATGGCGTATCGGCGTGTAAAGCCAAGATTAAGGTCAAGGACGGCGTTGTCATCGGATTCCTGCACGAGCACACCCATCCGCCGGACACGGTGCGGTGCGAGGTCCTGCAGGTCAGGCAAAACATTGCCAGGAGAGCGGTAGAAACGAACGAGACGCCGCAGCAGATACTCGACCGAGAACTGCGGAACCTGAGCGAGAGGGCGGCGCTGCAGATGATTCCGGTGCAGCATCTTCGGCGTCAGATTCGAAGGAAACGTCAGACTTCCTTCACTAAGCAGGTTTCTCCAACAGGCAGATCCGCGTTCGATAGCACAGATCAAGCTGCGTACTCTCAGTACAGTTTGGCCGCAGGTAGATCGACCTTTGACCTGCCAGAACATGCAGCATACGCTCATCAGAGTTTTACCACAGGCAGATCAACCTTCGACCCGGCAGAACACGCCGCCTACACCCACCAGAGTTTTCCTGAACAAAGTACCTATGGATTTCAGGCATTTCTCGCAGGAAGATCACACTTTGAGCCGCAAGACCAACCTACCTATGCTCAGCAGACTTTTCCGACAAGCAGATCACACTTTGGCCTGCATGAGCAAACTACGTACACCCAGCAGGCTTTTTCTGCAGATAGATCAAATCTTCAACTTCAAGAACAAGCTACCTATCCTCAGCAGACTTTTCTTGAAGATAGATCAAAGTATGAGTTAAAAGAACAAGCTGCATATTCTCAGCAAACTTTTCCTGCAGCGACATCAAAGATTGAGCTACAAGAACAAGCTACCGGCACACAGCAGGCTTTACCTGCGGGTAGATCAACCTTTGAAATGCCAGGCGATTGCGTTGACCAAAAACCATATAGTGGTAAGAGTTTTTACTGTTTGATTAGCATCATCTTTTACTTTTTGTGCCCAAGACACAAATGTTGATGTTGGGTGGATTTACCTGTTAGAAGTTGGATGGATTTTCCTGTAAGATATTGAGATGATTTGCCTTTTAGGCTGATTGAATGGATTTACCTGTTAGATATTGAGATGATTTGCTGCGTGGATTTACTTGCCTTTATGACTCATATACGGAGAAAACATCGTGTCGAATGTGTCTTGTGTGTTCAAACACTTTGGTGTGCACATCTAGACGTATACCATGATCAATGCCCAGAATTAACGTTGAAAAATTCAAGCTGTTGTTATTCCTGGCTAACTAACTGCTGTAGTTCTTTGACTAACCCCCAAGACACCTATATTTTTACGCAATGACTTACCTAACAACGTAATTAATCTAAAACACCAATATTGCCGTAATGAAATCGTTAACGAAAATGACTTTACTAATAGATAGCTGCTTGTGCAGGAAGGCACATAAAATAAAAAAAAAGTTTAATTAAAATGTCTATGGTTTTATGCATTTTTAAACAGTACTTGTAAAGATGACGGCAGATCGTATTGAAGCTGTCTTTGCAAGTATCCCAACCACCATAGCTACATAACCCTGACCCTAACAGCTGTGTCTGCAGAAAAAAAAAAACCTCTTGACTAACATATTGTACTATCAAACATGTTGTTTAGGTGTAAATAAATCGAGATCTGCAGCAGTAGTTGATCTAGGCTTTGAATACCTGAATAATGGCATATATATAAACTAATCAGCACTTAATTTAGGCCTTAAATATTGGGATTTAATTATATCAGCAGTGTTTTTAGGCCCAATCTATAGTGTATTTATCGATTTGAAAAAAAACAAACAAATGGTAAGTAAAAAATGTATAAAATAATATGCAGTGGGTTATATTTGATTGATATATAAACGTGTTTTTTTTAACGAAGTCAAAGCGAGTTATCATTACACATTCCAACTAGACTCTAGAGGTAGAGAAACACAGTTGAAATTAGTTTCTTACAACAGGAGAGACTGGTGGACTACCATTACTAAACAGTTGTCATTGATAAACCTCGGTTTTCAGTGGCCTTGTTTATCGTGAGTTTCGTTTTTTTGTTTGTTTGTTATCGATCTGTTCAGCGAAAGGTTTGTTTCGTTTCTCAACGGTTGCCTCGGATTTCGCCGACATATTCCGTGACCTATTTTACGAACTCGCGTTCTCCTGTGCGGTGTGGCGATGTTATTTTTTTCTTTGTGCTAGCATTTGGCCAGCGTACAAGCATAGCCTGGCATGTTTCACCAACATCAGTGTAACCAGTTTGTTGCTTTTTATTGGCTGCGATATTACTTCACCCGTACAACAAATACATGTAAGTGTTAAGTGTGTATTCAGTATTAAATTTGATCTGTGGGATCTTATATATATAGAAAAAAAGGCTGGCAAAGCAGTATAATATCGTATCCAACTTTTCTATCTGTTGTTAGTATCGAATTGGTTGCCAGGGTGAAGGTCAGGGTTATGGTTTGTAATGCATTAATGTCAGAGGTAGGGATTGGGAAAGGGTAGTGAAACTAGCAAAGAATATTGAACTCTATTACTTCCTGTTGATGTTTTAATACGTTCTAAAATGAGTTTATTTTGAGTTTTTTTTTTTCTCTTCAAAATTTTAATAACCTTCAGCCACCAGAAAAAAAAAATCAATTTAAAAAAAATTACAAATACTCTTTGAAATAGGCATACTCAAATCCTTTTCTCTCTGTATTAAATGTTTCCTTGTCTTAAAAAAATCTAACCTTATCTTTTAGTTCCAGCATGGGTCCAACAAAAGCTACCAAAGCCACCAGCCATCTAAAGAAGAAAGACAGGAACACAATAGAGCTGAAGAAGGAGATCATTGAGAAATATGAGAGTGGCATGAAGATAGCTGACATTGGCAGACTGTACAACAAGCCACCCTCCACAATTAGTTCCATTGTTGCTAAAAAGGAAGCAATAAAAAATTCTAAAGTAGCAAAAGGCGTGAATATGTTAACGAAACAGAGGTCGCAAACAGTTGAAGATGTTGAACTGTTGCTCTTATGTTGGATCAATGAAAAACATTTAGATGGGGAGTACGTTACAGACTCTATGTTATGTGACAAGGCCAGACAGCTGTATGCAGATCTTAAGAAAACGCCTGGGACAAGTGAGAGTGTATTTGGTGATTTTAAGGCCAGCAGAGGCTGGGCTGAAAAATTCAAGAGGCGCGCTGGCATAGACACTTGTAATAGGCGCGGTCAAGGTGTGACCTCGGACCAGTCTGGGAACGAAAAATGTACATTAATTGTTTGGATAATTTATATTTGTTATTTTAATATATTTTTTGCTTTTAGTATAAACAGTTAAATTAGTTTCCATTAAATTTGGTTATTTCAGTGTCTAGAACATTTTTTGAATTAAAATTTATTTTATAAAATAAAAACTACTTGGCTGTTGTTGTTTCATATTTTCTTATATTATTGATACAAACAGTGGTATCACTGTATGTATATCTCTTTCTGGTTCAAAATGACAAACTTTTCACAGTTAAAATTTTTTTTTAACCTGTAATGACTCCTAAGATCATAATTTGACCTTTGGAGTCATTACATGTTTAAGATTTTTTTTGTCTTATGTAAATCATCTTTTAGCAATTAAAAGCTTTTTGTTTTTTATAATATTCTAAGGGATTTTATTTTAAATTCTAGATCGTCTTGAATCAGCATCAACCTCCCATGAAGCACTTCCATCATCTTCATTCTCTCTTCCAAGTGGTGAAAGTTCCTTAGCTTCAAAGGCAGGAATAAAGAGTGAAATTTCAGATACACCCTATGAAGGCAAGGGCAAGGTAAGCCTCGTACAGTGGTGTAGCTGTACGTATAGTACATTCAGAAATGCTTGGATTCAGAAGGGTTTTTCAGTAGCTTATTAAATTTTGCACACAAATTTACATTTAATAAATTTTAGAACTATTTTTGTGCTTTTTTTTTCAAAGCATATGCCTTTTTCAAAACAATGGTTTTCCTTTTGCTGTTGTCCTTATTAAACTTCAGTGAGTTTTATTATAGCAGCTAGCCTAGACTAGTTTCTAAAGTTAATGGCTTCTGAATAAATTTTTATTGTTTTTGTATACATATTGACTAACAGAACTTCAGCTAAAGAGTGTTTTCTACCAAACACATTGTCATCATAAAATACTATCACAGTAGATATTTACATTTTTGTTTCTCCATGTATGATTTGTATTACTGCCTTGTAGTTTATTAATAAAAATAAGCTGACTTATGGAAAAATCTAAATCAAAGTTCATTATTTTGGATGTGTGCAGGGAAAAGCAAAAGCTTCGCTACCACTACATATTAGCCGCAAGTTAGTTGATGGAAACAAAGCTGTAACAATTGAATATAATTCAGAGGAAGATGAGGAATATATAGCTGTAAATGCTGGAGAAGGTGCCCCATGGAAGTTAGAATATAACAATGAAACAGTAAGAACACCATATTTTTTACTTTTAAACAGTTTCTGGATTTTTTTGTTTAATTAATTTTAGTTTCATTAAATTTGTATGCATTTGTCATTTGAAAAGAAATAGTACTTTTTAAAATATGAACATTCTTATGAACGCTGTTACTTCTATCACCCACTCTGTAATTGGAGCAGTGGCGTAGCGAGGTCGGGTGTCACCCGGCGCAGCACTTAATGGTGTCACCCCCCCAGAGGCGTAGCGACCCTTCCCGGGACAAACTTTCAATTTTTAATTTGAACCCCCCCCCCCCAAACTTACGATTAGCACCCCCCCCCCCTCAAACTTTCAATTTGAACCCCCCTCCCCTCAAATTTTTCTCCATATACTTTGCTGTTTTTTGTTTGCCTTGGTGTCACCCCCCTAAATGATGTCACCTGGTGCGGTCCGCACACCCCCCCCCCCCCCTCGCTACGCCTCTAAATTGGAGTAATGTGAGGGTTTAGTAGATCTCACAAATGAATTATTGGATTGATAGTCTCAAGATTGTTTTCAAGGTTGATGTCATCAAACTCTTCTTCTTCTTCTTTGTTCTTTATTTTAGTGTTGGAAGGGATCCCCTCCAACACAATTAAGTATACGAGTCAACTGGTTATGCGCCATTGAGGCCATTGACTCCGATTTCAGCCTGCTTTTCTATTTGGATTTGCTTCCATAGCCTTTGTTTAACCAAGAACAAACTACAAGGCAGCAGTTGTTTGATTTTGGAGAAGAAAAGTGCGTCACCTCATCTGCCAGAGGGTTCGAACTTGAGACTTTTTGGTTTAGCAACCATGAGCTTTACCAACTCGACCCCAAAACTCTGATAGGAACTAGTTTTCTTTTTGTTTGTTCTTAATATTAATATTGGAGGGGATTTCCTCCAACACAATTAAGTATTATGTTATGTGTGAAAATATTATGTGCTATATGGCCTGTTGCCTTGGACTAAGGCAGCTTTTCTTTCTGGATTTGCTTCCTTATTTTTGTCCACCTAAAAGCAATCTGCAAGGCAGCAGTTGTTATATTTTGGAGTTTTTTTTAAGAGTGGGTTGCTGTTCCCACAGCCTTATCTTCCACACATATTATCTTACCATAGAGAATATACCAAATGGTCCTATATAGTAAAATTAAGTTTAGCTATCGTAGCTGAGCTTAATTTGATTTTGTTTGTTTTTTTTAAAATTAGATAATTTTCTGTGTGAGTGCTTGAATTAATCAACTTAAGTAAGATGGGGCAACTTTCAAATAATTTTTTTTTTTAAAAATGTACAGTTTAACCTATTTAGGTAGCATATAAAAGTACAGACAGGTCTAATTAAATTATAATGTAAAGTGCATTGAAAGGGTAAGTAATCTATGATACTGCATTCACATATTAGGCCTATAGTTAAACATTAATTTAGAGAAATGCTAAGGGGTCGTCGTGGTCGAGTCGGTAAAGCTCATGGTTGCTAAACCGAAAAGTCTCGAGTTCGAACCTTCGGGCAGATGAGGCTCGTTAGCTGGGGACAGCCACTCTTCTAGGAGAGACAACTCCAAAATTAAACAACTGCTGCCTTGTAGTTTGTTCTTGGTTGGACAAAGGCTATGGAAGCAAATCCAAAAAGAAAAGCAGGCTGAAATCGGAGTCAATGGCCTCAAAGGCGCATAACCAGTTGACACGTAACGCTTAATTGTGTTGGAGGCGTGGTCGAGTCGGCAAAAAGCTCATGGTTGATAAATTCGAACAAAGTCTCGAGTTCAAAAACCCACTGGCAGATAAATCTCGATCACCCTTCAACACTAATAATTAAGAACGAAGAAGAAGAAAAGAAGAGAGAAATGCTTGTTTGAAAAGCCTACCAACCACTTAGATTCTGTTACTATTATTTCTTATTTTGAAGATATTTTTACAGAAATTTTTTACATGTTAACATCCTTTCTTCTTTAATTTTTAAAATAACTTGATCTACAAATCTATCTGCTCTTTTAAATTAAACCCAGATCTAATGATCTAATCTAATTGAAAAGCAAGAGAATTAAAATTACATATAAACTGCTCTATATTAAATATAGCCCCCCCCCCCCCTAGCTAGTGGTTTTGATTGGTTGAACACTTTAGTGGGCCTAGGCCTAGTAGGGCACAGGATGAGATAATGATTTTATGACGTCAACATGCTGCGTAGCACATTATAGCGCGCAAAGAGCTGGGCTTGTGCCGTATGTATTCATTCATTCATTGTGGTAAAATTTGCCCAGACTTTTTAATGAAATGACTACAGAAATATATTTTTACTTCCTAGATATAGATTTACATGCATATTGCTTAAAAAACATTTTAGAATTTTGCACTTGGGTATTGATTTAGACCTAGATATCTAAAAATAGCTTACTTTATTTAACTATATTTGTGTACTAGAATCGAGTGCAATATCAATAATGGGCTTCGTTAAAAAATAAATAGCTTTTATTTGGCCGCAATTTCCAAATCTGGGTAAAAAAAAAATTGCAACATGGCGTCGACGCGATGTTTGTGTTACCGTACTGTTACTTAACTTTTCCATGTAATACATCTGAGATCTAGAGCTAGAATCTAAATCTACATGCAGTTTAAAAATTGACATTGTCCTTTTCAAGGTTTGCAATTATATTTACGTGTTCTTTGTAGAGTAGATTTAAAGTAGAAATAGGTAATCTAGATTACGTTAAAATTAAAAAGTTTGGCATGTTTTTGCGAGTTCATGCACTGAACTTGGACTGGTAGTGGTAGGCCGAGCTCAAGCATTCTAGATCTAGATTTAGATCTTCTAGATAATCTAGATCTAGTAGAAAAACCATAACCAACCAGTGTAGCTGTGACATTGAGTATTAATTATTTGTGATTAGACTAGAAATTTTGAACCACAAGAGACCAGTTTTTTTCAACAGGATCTCTCTCTAGTCTCTAGAGCAAATTACACTGTCCGGACACACACCGCGAAAAAACGCAACTTAAAACTTCCATGCGGTCTCATTCAGTAACCGCTTAACATAGGAAGGAAAAAAAAGTATCATATCTATCCGCAATCATTCTACTTTAATAATGTGTGTGTCATTTTGTATTCATACGCATAGAACTTTAGCTATTCTTGTTATAGTGACTGGGGGGTCTTAACATGTGTTCGGACACATGTAATACAATTTCAAATGTGTTCGGACACCTTTACCCGTCATCGGACAAAGCACTTTTTGTTCATTTAGAATAATTTAAAGTCAATTTAATGAATAAAAACATATATTATATGCATTTATATTGTGTTATTGATTGTTTGTGAGGTAATTTTAATAGTATAAAACCTTTTTCCCACACTCCCAAAGTTCATCCCATTCAGCCATTGCGGCTCGCGCAGTACGCTGCTAAGCCAGCCAGGTCACATGATTCCCCCTCCTCTTTCGCATTCCACTGCATTCTTGACCTTATTTTGACCCTTTCCCTTCAATAACCAGCCCCTTTTATGCTCTAAATTCTTATTTAATAATATTTTTGTGTTGCTGTCCGGTCCCATGTAAGGTCAAAAAAGTTAGCGAACACCCCCTTTTTATTGTTCAAGCACAAAATAACCCATTAACCTTGACATTTACGATGTTCCATACATATATAGAAGCTATTTATAGTGTAACCTTTTAGCTAAGCGTTGATTGGTTCAAGTTTTGCCCCTAAGTCCAACCCTAGGTCACTTCATCCGGCTGGTGTAAAAATAGAAATGTGCGTACCATGCAACGTTAAAAATTTTCTAAAAATAATTCTTGAGAGAGGAAACGGAAGTACTTGACACGGAAGTGTTCATAAATGAACAGTTTACGTGCAGGCGCCGTTGTTTCGCATGAGACATGCTAATTAAAGTTTCTATGAGCCAAAAACCGACGAAGTGTTCGGTCCCATGTAGTGTTCGGACAATGTAATTTGCTCTAGTTCTCTAGTCTCACTCTACTTGACTCTACTACTGAGTAGACTAGTAACTATGTACAACTAGATCTAGACAGTGGCGTAGCGAGGTCGGGTGTCACCCGGTGCGGCACTTAATGGTGTCACCCCCAGAGGCGTAGCGTCCCTTCTTCTTGGGGACAAACTTTCAAGTTTTCTTTTTCCATCCCCCCTCAAACTTTCGATTTGCACCCCCCCCCTCAAGTTTTTGATTTGCACTCCCCCCCCCCCCCCCCCTCAAGTTTTTCTCTATATATTTTGCTATTTTTTGCCTTGGTGTCACCCCCCTAAATGGTGTCACCCGGTGCGGTCCGCACCCCCCGCACCCCCCTCGCTACGCCCCTGGATCTAGATTCTAGATTTACTACTCTACTAGTGCACTAGAAAGTGACTAGATTCTAGATCTAAGATCTAGTACTTACTAAGTAGTAAGACAGTAAGAGTAGATCTAGTCTAGTTACTAGAGAATCTAGTACTAGAGATCTAGAATCTAGATCTACTTTGATATCTAGATTTGAGATATCTACTAAGTACTAATTAGATCTAGAATCTAGATTCTACTAACTAAAGGACTAGATCTAGCATTTAAAAATCTAGATTTAAAGCTAGATATCTAGATCAAAATATTTATATAAAGATAAATTTTGACTAGATTCACAGAACTGATATGTCATGGTAACAGGATAAGTTTTGAATATGTAAAATAGAAATGTAAAAGTTGCTTGTTTTTTATTTTACAGGACTCAGAAGATTTGGAAATGACTGGACGTTTAGAAGACCAAGAAGCCATGTTAACTGGTAGAGAAAGTTTTTTGTTACATCTAATATCTAAAATTGTATATGGCTTCATTTTTAATAAAAGCTAGTAATCAATTTAATGGCCTAGCTGACAATTGACCACCACACTTAACTAATAAATTTAGTGCTTAGCCATTATTATAACTAATGAATTGAGTGCTAAGTTAAAATCTGTTTTTTTGATAATTATATGTATGTTATTTGATCAAGAGAAACATGTGATTGTCATTAAATTAAATTTTGTTTAAAGTTAAATTCAAGTAACCAGTTTACAAAATAAACTTTTAAGATTAACTTTCAAAGAAAGAATTATAATTATTCCATAAAACAAAAATTTTGTCAGTGAACACTGAAATTAACTGCTATTACAGTTAGTGTTTACGCAGTTTATTCCCTTTATTTTTCCAGGTCAAAAAGAGTCAGATTATTTACAGGATAGAATCACAGATGTACAGGTACGTTTCTTTTATGTTTACAGCACAATTTTACAGCACATATTTACCCTTTTAGTGGTTTCCGAAATCTATCATCATGACTAAACATTTAAATTGAAGTTTTTGAATGTTTAATTGAACTCTTTTTATCAAAGGTTAAAGATGAACCAGAAGACACAGGGTATGAAAACCGGTTGAACGCACCCACTGGCCATGACTCCAATGCTAACTCTAGGAATTCTTCACCTCTTCCTCCAATTCACTTTGAGAACACCTTACCTGTGCCGACTGGTGTCCCACCTTCCATCACAGCACACCCTGTTCAGATACCTCTAAATGATCTCTTTGCTGGATCTACCATTCGCAGCCAGCTTCAGGGTGCAATAGCAGGCAAGAAGATGGATACAGTGCAGAACATTGTCGAGGGTCTTCTAAAAAAGAATGAAACTCTACTTGCTATGAGTGATGCTGGTGGCTTTAAGCCTAATGCCCGTCGAGCTCGTGCAGCGCATGATGGTTTTATTAAGAGATCCGAGCCAGCTTTTCCAGCTGCTGGCAAGCCAACTGTGTTTCCGATTTCATCCACATTGCAAGCTCGCGTGGATGTATCAAATAGAAAAAATGTCGAGAATGTGTTGAAACCCCGAATGGCTAGACCTAAAAGCCCCACTCTGAGACATACCTCAATACTTAAAGACAAGACACATTTTACTTACGCCCTTATGGAATCTAATGCAGCTGACAATGAAATTGAGAAAATTTTCAATGTTCAAAACCATGAACTCGTGTGTGGGATTAGCTCTAAGTCATTTGTTACAGATAAATCAGACAAAGTTGTAGCGTCGTTGGATTTTGGTTACTTTTGGTGTAACTTTTGTCCTTTTACCACAAACAATAAACCTTTGTTGATTCAGCATGCTCTGGAGCATAGGTTTAGCTGTAAATTTTGTGTCTACGAATCATTCTGCCGATCAGATGTTGTTCGACACATGCATAAGGTTCACTCTGAAAACTTTACAGAAACGGCAAGTAGACTCTCTTATTGTACACTGCTATCTGACTATTTGCGTGTTAAAGCACGGGCTGAAGGTAAAGAAAACAAGGACCCGGATGAAGATATTGATGACATCGACCCACAAGAAATGCAGAAGGCACTTGAAGAGCTTGAGCACAGGAAAAGAAAAACTGATTCTACATTTAATGAGGCTGTGCCATCGCCAGCCAAGTCAGCAAAAGTTGATTCAGAAGATGGGGAAAGTTTAGATGGAGTGCATAAAGACCGTTTGGGCAAATCCAGAAAAAGCCAGCACCCTAAAAGGCATGCACCACTTAAAGATTCTGATTATGACATTTTTGAAATGGAAGTTGAGGAAATCAGTGAAGCACCGGAGCCTCCAGATGATTCAGAATCAGATAGGGTCCTTTATTCATCTAACCATAACTCTCCTAATCCCTACCTACATGGACATGATAACCAGCCTCATCCTACAGGTATGATGCAGGCTGCTTCCCATTCTCAAAATAGTCCTATGCAAAATTATCCATCCAGCTCATCTTCATCCAAACCCCAGCGAGGCAGTTCAGGAAATAAAGTCCGAGGTCCCTATGTGAGAAACAATCGTAGTTCTAGCACTTCTAGCCTTTACTGGAGTTGTGGTTACTGTTCATTTCAGAGCAATAGCCAGGCAGAAATCAAAGAACATTCCAACAGAGAACATCCTGGAAAACCACATAGGTATGTTGCTCTTATTAAAAATATGACCCCAGATTCCATCATAAATAAAAATCCTCGCACTGTAAATAGAAATTCTAATGTTAAGCACTCAGTACCTGCAATCAGCCCTGATTCCAGGCACAGAAGCCAATCTCCGCAAGTGCACCATTCACCCGCTTCCTCAGTTCTATCTCAGGCCTCCAATGACAGCTTTCCTACAAATGGGGAAGAGGAGGCTGAGGATATTGTGTCTCTCAGAGACTCACCCAGCTCGCTCAAAGTAAAATTAGCTCCAGCACGAGGAGCTAAAAAAGAAAGTACTGTATACCGCTGCTACCACTGTACTTACACAGCTAAACGCCATTCTTCCATGAAAAGTCACATTTACTACAAGCACAGAGGGAAGGGTCTTGTGGCTGTGGATGAAGAGTCTAGCACGGGGCAGCAGGTTTTTTTCTGTGCTAGAGATGACTGCACGTTTAAATCTGAGAGCCCTCGCATGTTCTTGAATCATGTAGATCAGTGCACACCGTGGAATAAACCAGAGCTGGCTGATGTTGAGGTAGAGCCACACATTCGGGAGTGTTTGGATCAAACTGTCAGTTTTGCTGAGATGGCCAAAGAGAAGGTAACGTCTTGAAATTTTTACCAGTGTTGTTGATTGCATGGTTGAAAACGCTTTTTGGATTTGATTGACTTGACCAGTAGCTTGTAGATGTGAAGACGATCCCATTATGTTTGACATAGCATTATCTATTACACTGTGGATTATTAACTGCCAATATTAGTGAAAACTTGAAAGTTGTTGCATGCCGTTACATTTTCTTTCTTGAAGAATGGTTTTTATATTTAGCATTGCATTGTAATTAGCTCTTTAACCAAATCTGTAGGATAATTTTAATACAAAAGCATTGATTTTTCTAATAAAATTAGCTTCCTCTGCAGTTCTAGTTTAAGCCTGAGATTGTTTAGTGCATTTAAATTGCTCTGGTAATGTTCCTTTAGTTTTAGTTTTATTATGCATGGATGTTTTAAATTGGCTAGAAAAAAAAAATGTTTTTTTTTTAAAAATGCATGAATAAATATATAATTCTGTTTGTAACATAAACTAAATAACAAAAATAGGTTTAAAAATGTCAAGTTCAGTTTTAAAAAAAAAGAGTAAGGTATTTAAATAACAGGTGATAGAGGGTGTCAATTCCTTTTTTTTTCAGGTAGTTGAAAAGGGAAGAGGAGTGTAAGCATGTATATTTAAAAACAAACCCCACTTGAACTTGTTTTCTATTTATTATTTTAAAGTAACTTTCAAATTGCTCAACTGTGAATTTTTCTCTTTGAAACTTTGCTTGATGTATTCTGAAAACTGAACAAACATTTGAATTTTATGTATTATGAGAATAATTTACTCGAATTTTATTCTGTGTTAAGCACAACAGCTGACCTATTGCCTTGTAACTGTTTACTCAGAATCTAAGAAACTTTGACTCCTTATCTTTAACCTTCCCGAGTGAAAGAATCCAGTATTTAATGTTAAGACATTATCTTTGACCTTAATTAACCACAAGGAGGACATACAATCTGTTATAGGTTCTCGGCATGTTACTGTAGGCAAATGTTTGACTGAACTATTTAACTTGTTGTTAAAAGGACAAATCTGGTTGCTTGACACTAGGTCATACAATATTTTTTTTATACTACATCTAACACTAATTTTATATTGTTACATTTTTGCCTTCTGATAATTTAAATAGGCTTTCACTGTTCTTTTTATTATTATAAGTGGATGACTTTTTTAAAGCATGTGTTTTAGTCTGTGTTTGATGTCAGTTGGAAATGCATTTAGTGGTTTATTTTTATTTTGACTCTTTGTTTTTTTTTTAATTGTAAATTTCTTTTTTTTTTTTTTGCATATGGGTTATGTGTTATTTTAATAAAATAATTTAGTTGTTCAAAACATTCAGTTGTTAAAGGTTTCTTGTGTCAGAAAGGAAAATTATGTAATGGTAAAATGCTTTTACATGACATGTTTCAAGAATTTTATGGGATATTCTTATTTCAATCCAGTTAGAAAATGTAGATATATTTATAGTGTGGTGTACAAATTAAATGATATATTTGGATATAATTTTAAAACTAAACTTTTAACCATTTTATTTTACATTATTTAAATTTTATTGCTTTTTTCTGTTTATCTTCTTACTATGTGAATCATTTTGATTATTAATTTTTAGCATTTTAAAAATTTTTGATTTAAAAAATATTACTTTAAAAAATTGTATAAGCCCTGATTTTTAAATTAAAATAAATATGCATTGTTTTATATGAAAATTAATAGCTGACTTTTCTTAGTAATGTACTTAAGTTGTGTTCAATAAATCATTAATCGGTGATAATTTTTAACAGCTAATTAGTTGAAAAAATGTAAGGTTTAAGTTTTTGTCTTAAATTCGGGTTTAAACAATAGTCAGCTTTCATTTAGCCACAGACAGTTTCAACCATGCAATCAGTGAATGCTCTAACATTTTAGTTGAAACTGACTATGGACAGCATAGTCTTGCCAAGGGTATGTTGTCCTAGACAAAAAGATGACATGTAGGAAAAAAATATTGCCTTTTCTATTTGCAGGTCAGTGGATGAGACAGAGTGTAGTGATTCCAACTTCAGCGTGTTTGATGAGAAGGACACGGATGGAAGCATTCCACTGGACGTTTCATCAGATTCAGACTCCTCGTCAAAATCAGAAAGGATGAATGTGCAAGAAATTGGGGACAGTGATTCAGAATCTGACTTGAATATTGACCCAGAACCAAGCCTAAACAAGATTACATCAGGGAGTACTTATAGCTATAATGTACATAGAAATGTTAACAATTCTTATTTAGCTGTTGATGAAAAGGATGTCTGTGAAAGTCCCCAAGGAATAAAATCATGTATGGCTAGTTATGTAGACTTAGAGGAGGATCTAGCTTTAGAGAGTGATGATTCCTTTTCGAGTTCAGATAATGATATGATAGATATTTCCCGTAAACATTCACCTTCAGCGAAATGTGAAAAATCAGGTCTTACAATAGAAAAACGTAGTCATTCCCCAGTAAGTGTTAATTCATTTAGTAATTCACCAGTTAGTGTTAATTCATTGGCAGCATTAGAGAGTACAGAGTTACAAAAAGATAATTTGGTCAGTCAGTCAGCATTATCACCAGTGCTAGCAAATGTATCGTCAAATGTTAGTAATTCACCAGAACAGTCTGGTAAAATTGACCAGCTGGCAACAGTAGAAGGATCAGGCATACAAACCAACTCCCCATTATATAAGAATGATGAAAGTGATGATCTTAAAACACAGGATAAGTTTGAAGCTGCAACAAAACCCAATGGAGGTGGAAACTTCTCTGTACATACAAGCCCAGCTGAAGACCATCTTGGTGTGGATCAGTTAAACACAGTGGAAAAATCAGGCTTACAGGGTAGATTATTACAACACCAACAGCAAGTTCTGGATGTGTTTGAAGAAAGTAGTTCAGGTTTACTCCATAACACACAAGACCACAGTTTAAGAGAGGATTTGGAATTAGAAAATACAGCCTTACAGAGCAACGATAATGAACACCAAAAACCAGCGGATGAGTTTGAAACAGATAACTCACTTTTACGGAGTAACTCCTCCCCCAATCAACAAATGATGACTGATGAGTTTGAAATAGATAACACACTTTTACAGAGTAACTCCTCCCCCAATCAACAAATGATTACTAACGAGTTAGAAAAGGATGAGTTAGAAAATAAGTTACCACACCATTCCCCCCTGCATAAAAAGCTGACAGATGAGTTTGAAATTGATAATCCAGCCTATCAGGATAACAGTTGTCAACAAAATGTGCAAGCTGGCAGATTTGAAAATGATAACTCAGCCTTGCAGAGTAGATCCCATTACCATCAAAATCTAACCAATGAGCTTGTAGTGGAGAGCACAGTATTAGAGAGTAAGTCCACCCAGCCTGATACACTAACACAGGAGTTTGAAATGGAAAACTCAGCCTCACACAATATCACCCAACACAGTGGGCAAGCTGTCTGCCAGTTGGAGCATGAAAACTTAGCTTTCCAGGGTAACTCTCAATATACAGAACAAAATGGTACTCTATCTAGATCAGAAAACTCTACACAGCATTGTACCAGGTCAACCAGCGATGAGCTAGAAATGGAGGAGTCTACACCTGTAGACTTATCAACCACACAGAGCAATTTCTATAAACCTTCTCAGTCGGCCAATGAAGAGATGGAAATAGGGCCAGCTGTTAAATCCTGGGTAAAGAGTGTTCAGCCAAGAAATGATAAGTTACTTCAGAGATTTTTTGGTACGGAAGAAATACATCCTGTTCAAAGTGAATCAGTGGACAATTTTAGCTTCCCATCTCAGTGTAATAATTTACATAATGTAGAACCAGCCAAGGATACGCCTATAGATACAGTGTTCAGTGACACTAAAGGTAGTTTAAATAGTTGCAGTGGATTGACTGGAGATGAAGAACTGACACCAGCAGAGAATAGCTCCTATTATGTCTCCTCTGCTCACACATCACAATTCACCTCTGCAGATGATGCTAATTATTGTGGAATGCGGCAAATTAGTCATTTAACTCACCCAGAAGAACTTAGGTCAGCTGCCCCTTTTGATAATAGCTCAACCCCTTTGCATAGCACTCACTGCACCTCTGCGTATGAAGCTAATTTTAGTGGAGTAAATCAAGTCAGCCCTTCGGTACCCGTCCATCGTTTAACTCAAGCTGATGAGTTCATGCCTGCTGCTCCACTTGATGTTGGTTCAACTGATGTCTCTCAATACACCCATGTATATGATTCAAATTTGAGCAAAGTCAGCCATCCAGTACCCAGCCGTCGTTTAACTCAATCTGAGGAGTCCATACCTGCTCCTGATGTCTCTCAATATACCCATGTAAATGATTCAAATTTGAGCAAAGTCAGCCATTCAGTACCCAGCCGTCGTTTAACTGGAGCTGAGGAGTCCATGCCTGCTGCTCCAGTTGATGTTGGTTCAACTGATGTCTCTCAATATACCCATGTAAATGATTCAAATTTGAGCAAAGTCAGCCATCCAGTACCCGTCCGTCGTTTAACTCGAGCTGAGGAGTCCATACCTGCTGCTCCAGTTGATGTTGGTTCAACTGATGTCTCTCAATATACCCATGTATATGATTCAAATTTGAGCAAAGTCAGCCATCCGGTACCCACCTGTCATTTGACTAAAGCTGAGGAATCCATACCTGCTCCTGATGTCTCTCAATATACCCATGTATATGATACTACTTTAACTGAAGTGAGTCCAAAATGTCGTCCACTACCAATTAGTCCTTTAACTCCAGCTGCATTACTTGATGTTAGCTCAATAGTCTCCCCTTCACATACATCTCAACACACTCCTGCAGAAGATTCTACTTTTCGTGACGTGAGTCACATTGATCATCCAACACTAATCAGTGATGAAACACCAGATGAGGAGTTTCTACAACCTGAGGCTAGCTCAGATGATGTGTCCCCTTCAAGCAGTTCACTGTACACCTCTGTATATGATGCCAATTTCTGTGAAGTCAGTCACGTCAGCCATCCAGCACCAATTGAGGAGTATTTTACTTCTGATAATTGCCAGTCTCTAGACTACTGTACCATAGATAATGTGGAAGTGGCTAATGAAGTTGACTACCTTGAGAACAACAGTTTGCATGACACTGGCAGCCAGTTTGAGCCTGCTGTGATGGACACTGGTCAGCCTTGTCCAGAGGATGAAAGGTCAGAAGAGCACATTGTTAGGCCAGAACTTGATTATGTTGAAGAGGAGATAACATTATCAGAAACTGGGGCCCAGGAAGTGTGTGATGAGATTTTGGATGATTTGTGTGAAGAAGAAATACAAACACAGTTGCAGAACTTGGCTGAAACACAGGCACAGTCGCAGAACTTGGCTGAAAGACAAACACAGTTGCAGAACTTGGCTGAAAGACAAACACAGTTGCAGAACTTGGCTGAAACACAAACACAGTTGCAGAACTTGGCTGAAACACAAACACAGTTGCAGAACTTGGCTGAAGTTGATGTTGTAGTCCCACCAGTGGCTGTTGTTGCCCCACCTGAGGCTGTAGTCCCACCAGTCACTGATGTCACTCCACCAGAAGCTGATGTTGTAGCTCCACCGGTGCCTGTTGTCACCCCACATGTGACTGAAGCTGCCCTACCAGTGGGTGGGCGTAGTGCACTCCCAATAGTTGAAAGTCATCAGAGCTCACCTACATTTAAACAAAAACCCAACACTAAAGCTCTTCTACCAGGGTCTACTAAGGCTGTCATTGAGAAAAAAGATCAAATTATGTCTCCACCACTGAAGCTGAGGTTCAAATTGCTTGGAAACATGACAGTGTGTAGCATTAGTGATGATACTAATGCTGCTAAGGTGGATGAGCCAAACGACAATAAAGCAGAGAGTATGGATGCATCTGATGAATCTGACTCCTCCAGTGGCAGCAGTTCTGACAGCAGCAGTAGCTCAGGCAGCAGTAGTTGTAGCAGCTGCTCTAGTGACAGTGACAGTGAAGAACCATTGGTTGCTGATGCTGAAGAACCATTGGTTGCTGATGTTGAAGAACCGCTAGTTGCTGATGTTGAAAAACCGTTGGTTGCTGATGCTGTAGAACCACTGGTTGCTGAAGAACGGCTGGTTGCTGAGCAATGCTCCGATGACACCTGCAAACCTGTGCACAAACAGGTACCCGAGTGGCTAAACGAGCTGATCGACTCCACTGGGGACTCAGACAGTGACATGGCCTCCAACCCTCGCAGCGTGCCTCTGTCTGTCAGCTCTGTTAGTGAAACCTACGAAAGCTCTTATGAGGATCCTGTCATCAGGAGCCCCAAACCTGAGGTCCGCAGCTTTGAGGCTAGGCCAGAACCTGAAGCTAAAAAAGCGAAGTTGTCAAGAGGCCATAAAGCTAAAAGTAAAAAAAAGGAGCTCTCACACTCCCAGCTTACTTGTATACCAGCTCGAAGTGCTGCTGTGAAAGCTCTGTCAAAGATGAAGCCTGCTCTAGAGGATGGAGACAGTAGTGAAAGTGGGGAGAAATTAAAAAGAAAATATTGCAGTAAATCAAAACCTATTTATTCTCAGCCATCAACATCTTACCATGTAAACACTGAAGTGACAGATCAACTCAAAACACCTAGGTTGTCATCAGATTCGGACAAAGGCAATGATTCAGGTCATGAAAAAACAGCAGTTTACATGTGTGGCTATTGTTTAGATGTCAGTGAGGGGACACTAAAAAAGATCAAACCCCATGTCTTAAATAAACATAGCTCAATGCCACCTATGGTAGTTAACTGTTTTAAACAGAGGAGGCATGAGCGGTGCAGGTTTTTCATCTGCTCACACCCAGATTGTTATAAGCTGTCTAGCACTGAAAAACAGTTTGAGCGGCACACATTATCTCACCGGGCACCAACGAGTCACAAGTCCACAGGAAAAAAGGCTGTTGGTGCCAGACAAAGCAAAAAATCAAACAGTGGGAACTTCCCCGCGTGTAGGGTGGAGCTTGACATGTTGGACCTGCGCAAGTTGAAGAGATCCAGCAGCATGTCTGTCAGGCTGGAGGAGAAGAAGTACCAGTGCTTGTACTGCACTGGCTACTTCTACGACAGCACTCTATCGGGCATGAAGGCACACTACGCCCAGGAGCACAAGGGCCAGCTGATGGTGATGCGGGACACCGAGGCCAGGAAATCCCAGCTGCCCTCGCGTATCTACGTGTGTGAGATCCCCAACTGTGAGTGCTGCTACATCAACCGGTCTGACCTGGACCACCACTCCAAGATTCACAAGTCCAACCTGACCTACATTTATGAGTGTGCCTGCTGCGGGTGGTACTCATCCTCCCACCTGGCCGCCACCCAACACCTGAGGTCTCAGCATGCTGATGAAAAGAACGTCTCACTCATACACATGCAGGTGTCAGTTGATGAGTATGGTCAAACATCGAAAAAAGTTTTATAACAGACCAGAAATTGTTTTTTAAAAATCCTTCTATAGCAGCTTAATAATCTATCTTTGGCCCTCATACGAGTTGCCAAATATTCATTTTTTTATGTAAGCTAACTTGAATGGGATCAGTGTTAGGTCCAGAATCCTATGTTGTCAGCTGTGATACTTTGACTTAGTGGTAACTGTTGGTAGAATTAAAACTGCTTCAATTTTAAAGTACCTCTGTTTTCACTTGTTTTGAAGTGTGAGGTGGTTTCATTCACTCTACTGTAATTACTTAGTTACATAAAAGTCGTTAACCCTGAGTGATTTTTAGTCGGTTTAATGATTCTAAATTTGAAAAAAGCTTACACGGTTGGTTATGTAGCTGTTGTTGTTTTATTGTGCTTATAAAATTAGAAATTCGTCCAGGAATAATGTATGCAATTATAAGTATTAAAAATGGTGCATCTTAATGATATCACAGTGTGATACATAATGTGGCATTCCCTTTAAGATTTATTTAAAATATCTGTATATGCTTGCAGTTGGTGCATTTATTTGTTTTTAATATTATACATTCCTTGGGAACTTTCACAGTTCAGCCTTTTTAAACTTTTTGTTTTCTTTTTTATAAGCTTTGTCATTTTTAAAAATTTAATGGATGCCTTTTATAAAAATAAATATGCCATTGTTCAACTTTTTTGTGGAAATGTAAAATTTAAAAGAGGAAATGCTAAGATTTTTTTTTTAAATGTTCCAAATGTTCAAAATTCAAATCTGTAGCTTTAGTAAGCTACATTGTGACTTAACAAATATTGCTAAATTTGTTTTTGAAATGAAATTGTTTCAGATCTGTGGAACTCCGTGCCATATTTGGTGAATTAGTTTTAGTAATTGTAATTAGTAGATAAAAGCTGTCTCACTTGTTAGAAGAAACGGTACTGTTAAATTATCTCTGGCTAAAATTATATTTATTTTTTTAGCTGTTAAACCTTCAGTATTCTGGTATTAAAAGTACAATTTGGACAGATGTAATTAATTATAAGTAATTACCATATTTAACATACTCATACATGATAAAAAGGAACATGTTAATTTTAACTTTTTCAAAAAAGGGGTAAATTTGCGTTTTAGTAATTTAATATAAAATTGATCTGTCAATCAAAAATATTGTGATCTACATTTTTTTGAGTGGATACTTTAATAGGATTTTTATCATGGTTTTTGTTTATTATGTATCTGGTAATTGAAAAAAAAAACATTTTATTTCTTTAAAAAATTGTAGCATTAAAATTGTATTTCTGAATGAAATTGTACTCAAAAATTGTTTTTATGTGTTAGTTCGGTAAAAATTTTAACTTTTTTACTCAGAAAATGTAACACAATTTAGGTGTGGTATATCTTTTATTCTGTAAGTACTGCTATTACTAATTGTATTTTTTTTTTTTTTTTTGAAAAGTTGATTATTTAGGTCATAAGGCAAATTATTTTGGATGGTAGAATAGTTTTCTATACTCATATATTTAATTATAAATATTTCAAGTTGGCAAGACAAAGTATGTCATGATCCAGCCAATCGTGTTTTTTTCATTGATCAAATCATGATCTTGCCTAATTTGCTCCCCTTGTTTTGTTAGTTAATCCAAGAAAAAAAAAGATATTCACTTGTGTTCAAAATGTTTTTATTTGCTGTTTGTTTTCTTGTAAAAAAGGGTTCTGTTTCACTCATTTTATTCCTACAGAAATTTGCTTTATTGGTACCTGTGATGTGAATTGTTAAAACTGTTGAAATGTTTTGCAAACTGATGTCCATGATTTTATGGTCCATAATCAGACAGCTGGTTAACTCTAGTTCTGCTGCTGCTATATTGGTTTTGTGTTTATTTGTGGAACTTTAAACAGAGGTTAGCAACACATCATAGATTTAATTTCATGCAGTTTTATTAAATTCAAAAAGTTATAGATTTAAAAAAAAATGATGAAATTTTACATCTTAAAAATTTAAAACAATAGAGCTAATATAAAATAGCTCTGACTCTTGATCTAATATTGACTATAACCTAAACTGTTAACTGATTTTTTATATGATTGTAAGTCATCAGTAAGTGAAACAGCAGTAAGATGTATTAAAGATATACTTAAAGGAGTTTCTCAGTGACATTAAAAACAAGCTTTTTATTTGAACCTAATCATTGGATGGCTTAAAATTTTGAATTTTTTTGAGGGGCTATCTCTCTGTGTTTTTTTGCTAAATCACTTTTTGAAAGTACTAGTGGATGTTAATTTTGTCTTTTTACAAACTGAAAAAAAAAATAATGAAATTACTTATATATTTCTAACTGAAATTTCCCTCTTCATAAATGTTCCAGATAAATTGTTTCATATCTGGATTATATATGTATTTTTTCCAAATAAATAAAATATTAAAATCTTGTTTTTTTTTTTATTCTGGTAAACTTATTATTTAAAGCATCTGTGAACAAAAGTATACCTGGTGAGAAATCTTGATCTAAAATTTTGTAAAACTTTGGCCATGGCCACTCACTATTTGCCAATTGTGTGCTCACTGCATCAAGTTATGGCAAGAACAATCTTCATGCAGCTCTTTATCAATACAAAATCTATCAAGGTTTGTAAGAATTAGGTTGTTACCTCGAGCCCTATCATCCAAAAATTCCAAGTAAGGGGAGGTGACCGGAATTAATTTTTTTAAAGCAAAAACTTTACAGGAGTAGTGTACCTTGCATTTACAGAACCGTAAGCTTGGTTCAACATAAAATAAATGCAATGCTGGTTGTATAATTATAATAATATGTGGGTTATTTTTTTAAATAAAAAAAATACAACCTGTGACGCTCAGAATAATAGAAAGCAATTATAGAATAAAGGTCTATGCTGCAATAATTGAAAGTCATTAAATTAAGAATACACGGTAGAAAGTTGAGACATAACATCCTGCTAGTTCTACTGATGATACCTAGATCAGCATCTTTCCTTTTTAGGGAAATAACCTCACACTCGTGTAGGGAGGGGCGGGGGTCCGTGATTTTGTGAAGGTGGGTGGGGTCCGATAGTGTGACGTAACACCTTTGCATTTTAAAAAGAAATAATGTTAGAAACTGAATTTTCAGCCGATATTTCGCGTTTTTGTTGACCGAGCTCTGAGTCAACATTTTAAGTGGAAAAAAGATATTTTATTTTAAAAATAATTCAACTGAAAATTTTGAGGAGTGGTTGTAAGCTGAGGTGTGACGTCATTTTAGCGGGATGATCTAGTTTTTAGTGACGATGTGTAATGGAGGGAAAGATGGGAGGTTTGAGAAAAGCGTGAAATAATCTATGGATGACACCTCCCCCTCCCCCCCCCCCCCCCCCATCCACACAGTATAACGGCCATTTGTAATTATACCCACCTGATTCATCACATCGTGTCAAAACATGTATTTTGAATAGCCGACACATGCTGTACGTTAAATAAATTCTAAAACTCAAATTGAAACGGGGGTGGGTGGGTTGGAGAATAGTTAAGGTTCCCCTGAATAATAGTGCACCCCCTACCCCTCCCCCCAGAGGTGTTTTAAACGTAACACTATATTTGTTATGTTTTTTCCCTTAACTTTCATCATCTATAACTTCAAAGTTGTAGTTTATCGCCGGAAATGACGACACTCACATGGGGGAGGGGGAGGAGTGGTGGAAAGGGATGTGATACGTGTGATCATGTGCTCAAGAAATGTGACGATGCACAAATTTTTTTAAAGAACCAGAATGAAATACATTTTTAAAGGGGGGGGGGGGGAGGAGGGTTGATGGGTGGGAGCTGGGTTGGGGGAAGGGTGTGGCTTGGTGGTTTGACCTGGTGCTGTTATTTATTCGTTTTTCTAAATGACCAAAGATATGTTTATTCGTTTTTTAAACCGTCTAAAGGTGTGACCGACACATAACTATTGACTGTTGATGCTAGTTGTATTGTCCATGGAGGGCGGATGTATTTCCCTTAAAGCATGTCTCTGCCATCAAAGCGGGCGGCCACCTTGATACGAATGAGTGTCTTTATTGTTATTTCATTCCCTTTTGATCTAGTTTCGTCCACCTGACATGGTAGGATTGTCTCATGTTTGGCAAGCCCGCCTACGCTGTCTATTGAAAAATGTCTTGAACCTCAAATACTATATTAGTAATCTCAGTTTTAAAATCTTTAGTGCAATATGACAATTGTATACGGCAAACATTTCTCACAATTAGTATATAGGCCTGTAAACAATATTAAAGATAGTATAGAAAACCGTATGACAGTCTATAAACTTTTTTTTAGATCAACTATCAAATACACTATTAAAATTTTGCTGTGAGATATTTTGACTGAGATATTTTGTTTGAGATCAATTGTCCATGGTATCATTTGTCCTGATATATTTTGTCCTGGTATCTTTTGTCCGTGAGATCATTTGTCATTGAGATCATTTGTCCTGAGATCATTTGTCCTGAGATCATTTGTCCTGAGATCATTTGTCCTGAGATCATTTGTCCTGAGATCAATTGTCCGTGAGATATTTTGTCTGAGATATTTTGTCTGAGATAATTTGTCCTGAGATCATTTGTCCTGTCACCGGTGTAGGTTATTCATCGTTTGTTTAATTGTCTAGATGTGTATTCGTCCTTTTTCCAACCGTCCAAATGTGTCTAACCGTCCAAAAGTGCATTTGTCTAACCGTTTAAAGGTGTAATGTCTAACCGTTTAAAGGTGTAGTGTCTAACCGTCCAAAGGTGTAGTGTCTAACCGTCCAAAGATGCACTTGTTACCCCGTGAATTAGTTACCTGATCACGCCCCTCACTGATCGACTAGCCACCCTGCGGCTGACGTGCATAGAACTCCCACAACATGTTGTTGATCTGTGTGGGTGTGTGTGTGTGTGGGGGGGGGGGGGGGGTCGGTCGGGGGTGGGAGAAAATTATCCTTAGGATAAGGGATAACCTAAACAAATGTTGACTCAAGGACGGCTGTTGGAAATAGCGGTTCTAATTGATTAGCCGTACCATCTAATTTGTTGTTGGGGTGACTTTTATACAAATGTGTCCGGCTAATCGAC